AAAAAGTAAATCATAAACAAATTTATAGCAATTTTCTAGGCAAATTTGCCTGAAATTGTCTACAGTTTAAGGGATAACTACCATGACTACTATGACTACTATGACTACCATGACTATTGCTTGAACTTTAATTAGTTTTGGTTAATCTTGGTCTATCTTGACCTTGACAATTCCTATACAAAGTGGTTGATATTTCAGGTTCTAAATTATTATTGGATATTTCTTCTTCTAAATTAGAATTTGATTCATCTGATTTGTATAATTCATCAATGTTAGCAATATTAGATTGGTCATGAAAATATGAAGAGGCATTATCTACTAGTAACAAGACTTGATGATTTTGAGTATGAAATCTTTGATCTAAATTTTTTAATCATTCAGAAAATATATTATTTCGCATTCAAGCTTGAAAATTTGTACAATAATTGACAGATAAAAAATCATAATTAGTGCTCAGCAAAATTAAACAAAAACTCGATTATCGAGTTTTTAAATTTATCAATTTACAATATTAGGAATTAAATACAAATTTTATTTTTAATTTATATATAAATCTAACAGAAATCTGATCTTACTTTAGTTTTTATACTAACTAATATAAAGTTTAAAGTTAGATTAGAATAAAAATAGATTTTATAATTGAAGCACAATACTATAAATTAATAGATTCAAAAACTTGATAATCGAGTTTTTGTTTGATTTTGCTGAGCACTAATCATAATTAATACAAAAAAGTGTATGAGGAAAAATTGATAATCCAATTACTAATGGTTTTAATTTTTTAATTCTGGTTGTATTACATGCTAGTATAATAGTAATTCGTAAGCGATCTTAATAATATAAAAGTTAAATTTTTAAAGATAATATTTATTTTAAATTTTACTAATAAAATTTAAAACTTTATTATATTAAATAACATGATTTAAATGCCACTCAGGCTACTATTCAAACTGTTATTCAACACCAACATATTCATATATTTCTCATTTTAAGTAATCACTAACAGCTGTCCTTGATTTTTTTTTATGCCAAACTTTCAAATATTTTATATAATACTGTATATAGATAAGACTAAGTGTTTATTAAAAAAAACTTATCCCTTAATATGTAGACCAACACAGGCAAATTTGCCTGCATTTTTGCACTTTTTTAGCTCTAATTTACTTTTTTAAAATACTAAAATATTTAAATAAAACTTTGCACAATTATATT